GGAGCGTTGGATACAGAGGTCACCAACACTGTACGGATCACCGCAGCGGCGAAGAGCGCCGTACACTACACGTACGGCACGGCGGCGATGGCAAAATTAGGCACAAGAGTCGGTCGCGGGGCAGCAGCGATATGAAACACAGCAAGCGGCGACAACGCCGCGCAGCAGCATGGTCCGAGGACTTGGAATGTGGGAAGCGGTCTCGCGGCGCCGATGCCAAAACAGGCAATACAGGACCGCGTCGCGGCGGCGGCTCGCGCGCAGAGGTGGCTGGCGGTTTGACGGACGGCGAGCGGCCACGGAAGCGAGCTCGCGGGCCACCCACGGCAGGCGTCGTGGAATCCGGCGGCAGCGGCGGCGGCGGCGGCGGCGCGACGGACGTGAGGTGTAGCGCTCAGGAGTCTCCGAAGGGCACTATGCCAGTGGATCACCGTTTAGCATCGCCACGCAGCGGCAACGTGTCGCAGCGGCCCTCTGACCACGGCAACGCGGCGGCATTACCGGTAGCGGTAGCGGCATCGGCGGCGGCGCCGCCGCCGTCAGGTGTGACCCCGGCGGAATGGCAGTTGTTCCAGGAGTGGCGGCGGCTGCAGCAGCAGCAGCAGCAGCCGACTGGGGCGGCGGCGGCGGCGGCAGCGGCTGCGGCGGGGGCTGCGAACACCCGTGGTGGCAATGACTGCGCGCATCATCTCAACAATCCTTCCAACACAGACAAGCTCAGTCTCCGATAATAGCTGCTATTCTAGGATTGCCTGTAGTGCAGATGCGTCTATCTGCCTGATCTGTCTGTCTGTCTGTATATATATCCGCTGATAGGTCGTTCTGCTGGAGGCGTTGCCCCCTGTTTTCTGTTGTTCAAGTAAACTGAATCCCGGGGCTGAGGCGGGTTTGGGTCAGTGTTGTTCTTGGTGTTGGGACTTAGGGTTTTATAAAATGACAGCGGAAACCGCCAACTGTCAACTGCTAGTTGGATGTTGTTGGGTTCCAGGCAAGGGGATTGTGGGAGAGGGGGAAAGGCGAGAGAGGGTCCCTGGGGGGCTCCCTCCTTGATGATTTCGTTTGTGTGTGTGGGGGGGTGTATGTGTGCGCGTGTGTATGTGTGCGTGTGTGTGTGTGTGCGTCCTGTAGGGATCTTGCTGGCTTGATAAATATTGAGTAAATGCCTCCTCGCCAAGGGAGGAGGATGTTATACACATGTGAACAACGAACAGCAACGCACGAGGTCCTTGAGCAGCTACGTGAAATTGTTTTTCTGTCTTTTAGCTGTCTTTTTCCCTTTCTCAAGCCGGTCTGCAGTACTTCGGTGTTGGTGGTTGCTTAAGCATGTCCCCCTAAAGGTGGCATCTGTTGTCGCTTTTCCTGCGCCGTGTCGCCGACGGATAGGCCGACGGATAGGCCGACACCACCCATGCTGTGTGCTATGTGCTATCGAACCTGGACTTTGATGCGACGTCTAAAATGAGGCCTGGAAGGAGGGCTTTCAGTTTTAAGGCTTTGATTTGACTGGGGGTTTTAAGCATCGATGTGGTTGTTAAAGCGCGAAAACGCACAGCTGAGTAGAACAAGAGAGTTAAAGTTTGGGGGATGTCTTTTAGTGGCTTTTAGTGGCTGCGAGTCGCGCAAGGTTGAGGGGGGCTGCGTGCGAGGATGAGGGGCGGCTGGGTCGTGAGATTGATGGGCAGATGAGGCTGGTGGGGAGCTAGAAACGAGACAGGGCGTGCAACGGTATGGTTGGTGGTGGGGTGGGGAAGAAGGGAATGGCTGGCTGTGTGAACGGCGCAGAGTGCACTCGTTAACCCTCCTCAACCCATATTAACGTGATTGCGTGGTTAATGGCATGTTGGTCGGTTTTTCTGGATTCAAGTTCGTTCCTATTTCGCAACGAAAGGCCATGGTTGTTTTGCTGCATGCTGATGCATAACAGACGCATGATAAGCATCTGCCCTTTTCGACTGGAATATCGTGGGAATTCGTTGGTTTGGATGATCATGTATGCGGCCCTAAAGATTGTGCCCGATCGCTCGGCTTGTTGGGGTGCCGTACGCTGGATGCAGGAGACACATACGACAGCTGGTTTTACGGCATGGGCGCTTGTGCTTGGGTTGCTATACGTGCTGACAATTAGTTTGATGCTCGCCCCAGGGCTGGCTGGACAGTAAGCGCTAGAAAAACAGCGTGCTTAACACGACGACTCCGCATTAAACCCGTAAGCATGAGTCCTCGAGTTGTAGTCCAACTGGAACCTTTGACGTGAGGCGATAACTGCCGATTGAGGTACCATCTGCATCGACGTTTTGTAACGTGAGATCCCAGCGCAGACGCGGTGATATAGGCAGGGTACACATGACGGTCATCTGCATTCGTCTCTCCCACTCTCACTACGGAACAGCCGTACGTGAACAGCTACCTGATTGTTTTCCACAGTCCTTGAATATGGCGAACTGTTATTATGCAGCTGGATAGATCTTTTACTGACCTGCGCAATAGCTTGTGCTTTGGCTGACTTCTTTGATGATCGAACTTGAACGCGGTTTGCGACTGGTTTCACCTTCACATCGATCTCCTCTCTTTAGCATGGCATATACGTATGAGGCCTTTGAGACTTCTGATCAGCCTA